TTTTACTCCTCTTAGAATTGAAAACTGGGTGTTGCACTTCTGTAAATGATATATCAGTTGGATGTGTTTATAGCATTCCAGCACAGACATGAGAGCACTGACACATTGGCAAGGTGTGGCTCTGACAAATTTAAAGGACTAGCGCACATAATTTAATATTTGGAATGATTTACTCACCCCCATTTTGTTCAAAGTTTTTATAATTTGTATTCTGCTGTGGAAATATGAGAGAATATTGGGGGAGAAAACATGTAACAGTAAAAATGTAACAGAAGCGCTATAGCAAGGATGCTAAAGTACCTCTTAACGCCTCATTCATACTAGCAGCAACTTATATATATGCTTTAGCAGATGCTTTATCCAAAGCGAGTTAGACCCATGAACACACGCACAGCAGTAGGCTTGTCCAGAGAGCAGTTGGGGGATCGGTGCCTTGCTCAAGGGAATCACTACAGCCGTGGTATTAAGGTGGATATTAGTTCACTCTTCCCACCAAATACTCAAACCTGCGAACTTTAGATCCCAAGTTCAACTCTCTAACTATTAAGTAAAGGGCTGCCTTTTGTGGCGTTTGGTGGAGATTTGAAGTTGCTAGTGGGCAATCCTACTTTGAGGTTTCTTATGGCCCGTTTCCACTGAGTGGTACTGGTTGGTACGGGTCATTTAGTCCTTATTAGGATTCAAAAACAACATGCAGCATATAGCCCAGTCAGTGCAAACCTCTCCTTTGTATCTTTAATCCTCACCTGCACATGTAACCTCCTGTTAGAAAGTAATTCTGTCATTTCGAGTTCATAATAGTCCAAAAGCTGATGATAATAGTTAAACATGGCAGTTTGTTCAGGTTTTAGGTTGCTGAAAGAATCATTTGCTTCTTTGTTTTTTCGGGCTTCTCCTTAGTTTTTTTCTCCTTAGTTTTTTTTGCATGTCACTCTCACGTTAGTCTGTTTCTTAAAGGATTGGACGTCAGAAGCACTTCAATAATCTTGCACCCGTTATTATCATCAGCTCAAGAAGTTTGTTATTTCAAATATAGATGCTCGGCAAGTGCAAGCGAGAAAGCGAAGTCGCCCGCGCTTTAGACGGACTTGTAAAAAACTACAGGACACAGAGTAGATTCTGCTCTTCTTTTTGGCTTTTTGGCTGTTCTTCAAGACAACGCCAAAGTTTGTTTGAGCTCGGGCTGACCAGGTCTCGTTATTATATGTATATATTATTACAGTGTATAGTCTCGGCTGTGTTTAAAAAATGGCGGTTTCTTTGTTTTCATTCTCCTGCTTGACCACGAGCTAGGGAAGCATCTCTGTAAACCAATAGCGTTCAGTTGCACCTCTTGCTCTGCCTTTTGGTACCCTTTTGTTGTGCTAGGTACCCTTTGTACCCTGTGGTACAGTATGGTTTGATTGGCTGTCGCTTACGAAAGTCACTCTTAATTTGCATATAGCTGAAGGATTGTCAACTTTGATCTAGTTACCACTAGTGGCTGTCGCTAACGTAGCCGAAGTCACCAGAAGTTTATTGCTCTCCATTGAAACAAACAGTCGTAATGATTGTGCTCACTGGGACATATTATCTTTTAAGGGTCAGGACACACCAAGCAGACAGTCAACCATTGGGCTTCTTTCTAACATCCCCTCTCGTCAGGTTAATGTTGTAGCTTGTTGGGCTGATTCAGCATGTAGAATTGGTGTTGGCCGTCGGTTGAAGAGAGAGTTCTGATTGGTTATTTAGAAACAAATCAGAGCTCGAGTGCGACGTAGAAGTCACGTAGCAAGTAAACTATTCAAGGGAAGAAAGGTCACAACGAGGTCGGCTATAATTTTGCTACATTTCTCAAATATTAAGGTATGGTACGATATGCAATATTATATTATCAGAAATATTTGCACGAAGAAATCTCCCTGTGGTTAGTGGCAATTTGTGTGGTAATGGTGCTAAATGCTGCTTTGTTTACTTGTTTGTTTGTTTGTTTGTTTGTTTGTTTGTTTGTCTATGTGTGTCGGAAGTTCGGTTTCCATTTGCGTAATGAGAAAACAGAATACTTTCCTCTTGCAAAGCAGAAAAAGCATCCTTTTGTGCAGGTGCAGAACATGGCTCTCGTTTCAGTCAGTTTTTGTCAGTTTGGTGTGTTCACACACAGCTTTTTGGTCCAGATGCGATTCAATCCAAGGTGACAACATGACTGGTTTTTGTTTTTCCGCTAGTTGTTTGGAGTCTCCTTGGTGTTTCCTGGCCCTAACACCTCTGGACCAAACAAAGGCTGCTACTATGAGTGTGGCACTTTTGTTAAAGTGCCTTGAAGCTGCTCTTGTGAATGGTTATGGCTTTTTTTCTACTTGTTGATGATATACAATATCTCTTTGATTTGCTTTATACTAAACAGATTTTGTTTCTCAGAATTAGATGGTTTTGTGTTTAGGGCGCCAAACCAGTTTTACATGCAGAACAATATAAACTATATCAAAGATGGAGCCGACAGCACAATAAACCTTTTACATGAGTTTTTCTCTTATGCGTTAGAGTTATCCTGTTTAACTATTTTATTATTATACGAACAAATTGCAGTGAACATCATGCAGTTTTACTGTGATTTATAGAAGACTAACTAAAATGTAATTATGTTACAGATATTATGCTGTTTTAAGTAGGCATGACCATTATTAAATGCGATTAATCGCATCCAAAATAAAAGTTTGTTTTGGCATAATTTAAGTGTGTGTGCAGTGTATATTTGTTATGTATAAACATTTTTTAAAAATGTTGCTTGATATATGCTGGATAAGTTGGTGGTTCATTCCACTGTGGCGACCCCTGTTATATAAAGGAACTAAGCCAAAAAAAAAAATAGTTATACAAATAATACCTAACTTAAAATATCTTGGAACAAACTTGTATAGTTTTGTTTCTATGAGTGTGTATCACATATACATAATAAATATGTATAATACTTTAAGGGGAACCAGCACCCTATCAGTACACACACACACACACACACACACACACATACATATATATATATATATATATATATATATATATATATATATATATATATATATATACAATGACAAAACGAGCATTTATTTTGGATGTAATTAAATGTGATTAATCTAAATGCAAAGTATTAAAGATCAGTGTTTTAATCATATAATAAAACTAATATTATTTATTCTTTTGCATATTATAAAAAGCAGAGGCCCTAAGTATTTTTGTGTCATTTTTACAGAAATATAGCTGTAATGCTGAATGACAATGCAACATTTTTATTCATTCGTTTTCCATCAGCTTAGTCCCTTATTTATCTGGGGTCACCACAGCGTGATGACCCATCTTCTATTCAGGCATATGTTTTACGCAGTGGTTGCCCTTCCAGCTGCAACCCAGTACTGGGAAAGACCTATAAACTCTCGCATCCACACTTTTAAATTTAGTTGATCCAATTCACCTATTTCACCTATTTTGGAGCACCTAGAGGAAACTCACGCGAACATGGGGAGAACGTGCAAACTCCACACAGAAATACCAGCTGGCCCAGCCGGGACTTGTACCAGTGAACTTCTTGCTATGAGGCGACAGTGCTAACTACTGAGGCACCACGCTGCTCCTGCAACATTTTTTGACTTCTCAATAAATCATTATCTCAGGTTACATCTCAACTCACATGAATCATACCGACTAAACACATTAAAATGTAGTTGAAACTTGATTAAATTATTAAAATAAGTCTTCAATTTTTGTCATTACATTTTATTTTTTCCATTGTTTAAAAGCCACATTTGTAAGATGTATTTGATTCAAACCCACAATATAGACAGTTTTGGATTCAAATTGCTACCAGAAGCATAAAGCTAAGTGTCACTGTTTTGCTAGTTGTTGGCTACAGTGTAGCCTTAATCAGCCTCACTTCCTTCCTTATAAAACGCTGCCAGAATAACCAAAACAGACAGCCACTGCTGTATATCTGCTCATGTCAGTGAATTCCCCATCATTTTCTCTAAGAGGTCTTTTCCTGTCTTCAAGGCCGCGACTTGTAAACAAAAAGCGGATTTATACAGTAATGATGGCTGGTGTTAGCCTAACTGGTTTTCTCCTCACACTTGAACTCCATTACATTCTTCAACATCCTCGCTACATCTTTTTACTACCCCATTTTTAAGTTTATAAGCAATCCCGTAGTGCGTGTGGATTATTCACATGCTGGGTGACAAATTATAAATCTTATTTTACCAAACATCAGAGGGAATGCGTTGCTTTATCCAAGTTATTTATTCAGTCTGGATGCAAATCCTTTTAGAATGTGTATGATCTGTGATGTTGTGGAAATCCCGGTTTGAAAGCACAGGAGAGGCTTTGTTACGGCTGATGGTGTGCTTGTTTACTCTGATAGGCCATTCTGTTTGAGTCATTCTGACTTACTGGACTTTCACCTGCAAAATACACTTCTTTCTCAAGATATTGAAGGACTTCAGGATGTCTGCTGCTTAGGCTTATGTCGTTGATATTCTGGTGTATTTGATAGATCCATTGTTGGAAATGCTGTCATTAATAGGATTAATCTACTGCATTATATTGTGCAATCCATGAGAGATCATAAGCTGATTTGAATTTGATTAGACAAGTCAGACGTGTATTATATATTATGTTTGGGTGTAGTGTTTAATCATTGTTTTTTTTAGATTTTGTTTGTTCTTACCTAAATACAGTAATGTAGAATTTTTGGTGGTAAATTATTCTCAATTATTATGGGTAGTAAATGATTAAAAGTGCTATATTATATTATATTACATTATAATTTATATATTAATTAAAAAATTGTAGTTTTATTTATACATTCATTCAATGAATGAATGTGTTTATTAATTTTATTAGTTTGTGTTAAATGCAGACTATACTTGACTTAATCATGTATTTTAAATGCTTGACTAAGTGTGTATTTATAATAAAATTTTACATAATATTCATATATATGTTTATTTTTCTCTCTTTCTCTGCTATGACAGGTACTCTGCCACCTGGTGAGCACAGCTTTCCGTTTCAGTTTCTCATTCCAGGTAATTGCTCCAGTTTTACAATTAGCATTTCAAAGCCGTTAAAGGGCATTTTCATCTAGAGGAGTGTATTGTTTTATTGCATATCTCAGATGGAGAGCACTCGGGTGTACGGTTAAACTATGCTGAGTGTTTCTATAGGGTGGTGAGAGGCTGGAAGAAGAGTTTAATTTTAACCTAAACTGTATAAAGTCCTCTTGTTATGTTCTGCTCCTTCCTGCACAAACATGCCCTTTCATGAACATTTAAAGGGATAGTTCACTCAAAAGTCAAAATTCTGTCATCATTTACTCACTTCCTTTCTTCTGATATTTTGAAGAAAGCTGGAAACCTGTAACCATTGGCATCCATAGTTTTTGTTTTTCCTACAGTGGAAGTCAATAGTTACAGTGTTTTTCTGCTTTTGTGTTCTACAGAATGAAGAAACAACCACTTGAGGAAGAGTAAATAATGAGTACATTTTCATTTTTGGGTGAACTATCCCTTTAAAAATAATCCCTTAATGACAGAAATATTCACAGTCAAAACTGTAGGTGAAAAAAACATAAACTAATAATAATAAATTTACTTCAATATTTGATTTATTACATTAGGAAATAATAAGTAATTATTATAAAAATAACAAGTTAATAATAAATAAATAATTAGATTTCTTTAAATTTAAGATTAAAATTTGTTTAAATATGCAAATGAGATAAATTTGCATACATATTGGATAAAACACAGATAAAAAGTAGACAAAAATTTGATGGAATTAGGTTTTTACAGAATTAAAGCAAGATATAGATTAATTTCTCAATTGTTAGGCATTTTACAAATGAAAAGGCACGTTTCGTATTAATAAAACTGTCAAGTCTGGTATGTACAAGTACCACCAAAGTTTTGTTGCTCGCTGCAAGAATAAAAGAACACATTTTAAAAAAGATCTGATTAAAAAATGTACTGTATTTAAAATCTACACACAGCGATAGTGTGTAGTATAATTAAGTGTGACTAATTAATTTTGGTCCTTTTATATCAATGAAATGTTACCTATGATGAAAATCAACTTTTGTAAGCTGTTTGGACAGAACTGTGTGTATATTGTGTCCACAGTCATATTGGAGGGATAGAAGCCCAACAAGTCTCTTTTTTTATTTCTTGACATTAGGAGTGCAGTGTCTCCGCCCACCGAATTTCTTGATAGGTGCCATGTTTTTATAAATCCTTGTATACACATATCCACAGAATATTTAGTTGCAATTAAACTGGGTTAAAATATTTATTCCAACTCTCTATGATCTTTGTAAGTCTTTTGTAAGATGTTTCTAAAACAGAGCCTACTTGTAATAAAGACAATAAAATCCCTATGTAATTCTTAATCGCTCTAATCACCACGGCCGCATGGTGTCAGTAAATATAAGTGTGTGTGTGTGTGTGTGTGTGTGTGTGTGCTGCAAATGCATTTGTGTGAGATTCATCCTTTCAGAAAGGCTTGAATAAACTCCACCACAAATACATGAAATAAATTTACTTGGTATTTTTTACTAATGAGCTGTATTTCAGCTTCATCCATCTCTGTCTCTATCACTGACTGCTGTTTATCTGATATAATGCATGATGACAAGCAGACACGCACGAGGCAACGGTGAGTGGGGAGAAGCAGCTCATTTGCATTTAAAGCCACAGGTTACAAAAACAGCTAAAATATCTTCAGACACTAATATGGGCAAATTCTGGAGGCTATTATAAATAATCTAATGGGTATTTTGAGTTGAAACTCTACAGGCACATTCTGCAGACACCATCTTAGATCTTGTAAAAGGGGTAAAATAGGTGCTCTTTAAAGTGAATGATTGGAAAAAGACTAAAATCTTAAAATTGACAATAACAAGTACTCCGGTGGTCAATATAAAGCACAAAGAAATTGTTTAATAATTGTTGTCAAATAAAAAGACAAGTGTTTTATTAACAATAAAACTGTGAGGTAAGAAAACAGCTTTTAGAAATATATTCTCTAGTTGAAATCTACAAACACATTGATTAAATGTGACAAACAAAACTTTTAAGAGTGTATTTAGGATGTTTTATTTACATTGATTTGGAGGGAAAGCACTGAAGTCTAGACAGGTGCATTAAAAAAAGTGTCAACTGCGCCTCCTGCTGGCAGATTGTATGAACATCTGGAGAAGATTAACTGGAAGGATCGGATCAAAACAGGGACTTTCCAATCCATTAATCTGGAACGTGTCAGGCATCCAAATTCAAACGATATAGATACAGAGATGAAGCTAGTATCCGAGTGTTGTTTTATTTGAATTTCTTAGTGGTTTATTACTTTTCCTGGCACCTCAAGCTTATTTTTTTGCTTTTAGGATGACAGCACTTAAAGGGGTGTTGATCTGTTTTATTGATTGTGAGCTCTAACCTCATCTTGTCATCATTCAACATTCTGGTCCTGGAATAATATTGTTGTTTTCTGTGATTATAAGAAGAAGCTTTTGACAAGTACTAAATAACTCGATGTTTGTGTTTGTTGTAGCATCAGTTCCAACCTCGTTCGAAGGCCCGTTTGGGAAGATTTTGTACAAAATTCGAGCTTTTATTGACACGCCGCGGTTCTCAAAGGACTACAAGGCCCAGCGACCCTTCTACCTTCTCAATGTGCTCAACCTCAACGAGTTGCCAGATATAGAGGTGAATAACCATTTATTAAATCGCTAAAATATCAGAAATTATTTATTCACAGTGCTCAGCATATATAAGTACACCCCTCACAAATCTATCTTTTAAATTCATATTTTAATAGGAAGCTATGCAATATTAAAAGCCAATATATATACTAATGTACTATATAATATATATAATATATTATATATTATATACTATATATATATATATAATATAATGTATAATATACTAAAGCCAAATCTGTAGCTTATCTAACAAAATAACTTATGATAACGGTCCAAAAACTAGTACACCTAAATTTATATTTTAGGGAAAAATGTTAAATACAAATTTTAAAAAGTGGAAAAAGCAAGAAAAGAAAGAAAAGCAGAAAAATTGAAAAATTTTGTTGAAATAATTTTTTTTTGCAATATTTTGCTTGAATTTAATTGTGTTATTGTTCAATTTGTGAATTAGTTTGGTGACTAAAATATTATTTTAATAAATATATCTGTTTAATGAATCTGTTTTGTTCAAATGCACCAATATTTACTGAGAAATAGATTATAAAAAATATGAAGAGTTCAAATACAAAAACCTCTAAGTACCATCTGAGATTTTCTTCTAATATTAGCATTTTTTCCAGGCTTCTATGTGCATGCTCAGTAGTTTTACTTGTATGTAAAAGAATAAAGTATTTTCATGGCCTTTAATGTGAAATAACGGAACATAAAGACAAGAGGTTGAGAAAAATGCTCATTTTAGAAGAAAACTTCAGATGGCACTCTTCAGAAAAAACTCTTCATATTTATTTTCAAAATGGGGTGTACTCAATTTTGCTGAGCACTGTGTATTAAAAATGTTTTTGAATATCTCTTCTGCTCCCCTAGGTAACACTCATTTGCCTAAATAATACAATAAAACAGTGATATAGTGATTTTATCCAGTTTATAACTATGTATAATATTAATAGTAATTCATAACCGTGAATAAAAGGTGAATTTTTTTTTAACATCCTTACTCCAGCCTACAGTGTCACAAGATCATAAATAAAAGAAAAAAAGCTTTGTAGTTCACTAATAAAAAATGCTGGGTTCCACACAATTCCTTTATGCCGAGACCCCAAGACAAATTGATTGAGGTAACTTAATTGTTTTTACAAATTTAAGTGGACTGAACATAAAACAATTACGTTTTCCTCGCCACCCCCGGGTGGCATTTCTGTTTGGAGTTTGCATGTTCTCCCTGTGTTCGCGTGAGGTTTCCTCTGGGTGCTCCTGTTTCCCCCACAGTCCAAAGACATGCGCTTTAGGTGAATTGGGTAAAACAAAATTGGCCATATTTTATGAGTGTGTGTGAATGAGAGTGTTTCCCAGATTTGGGTTGCCGGAAGTTGTCAGTTCATTCCACTGTGGCGACTTCTGATAAATAAGGGACTAAACCTAAGGAAAATTAATAAAGGAATGGAATACTAATAATAAAGTATTAAAAATGTATATAAAAAATGTCATCTAAAATATGTGTCCTACTTTTCCCAGCAACCCAGCTGTGCAGTGACAACGAAAAAGTTTAACTACCTCCTGGTAAAAACAGGCACGCTTATGCTGAAGGCTTACACTGATCTAAGAGGATACACTCCTGGACAGGTCATCAAACTCTCCGCTGAAATACATAACAAGTCTGGTAAAGACACCGGCTATGTGATGGCCAGCCTGATTCAGGTCAGTAAAGTAGGACAATATGATCACATTTAGTTTCATAATAAGTGCAGCCCATTTTGAAAATAAATATTTGTGTCCATTTCTCTGTAAATATGGGTCATATAAATTGTTGCATTTGAACAAAACTGATTTATCAGACAGAGATATTTATTAAAATAATATTTTAGTCGCAGAACATCTTTAGAAATAGAAAGATGATACATTTAAATTCAAGCAAAATAAATTGCAAACCACCTAATTTTGACTAATTTTGATATATTTTTTGTTTCTCTTGATATTTTTCCCCTCACTTTACATTTAAATTAGGGTGTACTCATTTTAGTACGTTATTGTAAGCTATTTTGTTAGGTTAGCTCTAGATTTGGCTTCAGCATAAATATAACATTGTATAGCATCTTTTATAAATGATTAATTGAATATATAGATTTGTGAGGGGTGTACTCGTATATGCTGAGCAGTTTGCATGAATTCCTCTTCACTGTCTAAGCGATACAGTAGGGTACATGCAGAAATTGTCAGATGATATCACTCATTATATCTGTGTATGTTTGCGCAGAGAGTTTCGTATAAGACTAAGCGTCCAGTTTTTGATCTGCGGCCCATAGCAGAGGTGGAGGGAGCAGGAGTGAAGGCAGGCAAACATGCGGAGTGGAGAGAGCAGATCATCGTCCCTCCTCTTCCTCAGTCAGGACTCACCGGCTGCAATCTCATAGATATTGAGTACTTTATCCAGGTACGAGAATCTAAATCTTACCTTTAGCACTACACTGAGTTAAAAACTTCTGTTGTCATTTAATCACCTTCATGTAAGTTCAAACTCTTTTATGGAATAGTTTGACTGATGATTGAGTCTTTAATTGAGTTAAATGATCGATTAATTTGAAATTAAGAGTAAATTAGTCTCATTTAAAGAATCATTTAGAGCTGTTTTGTGAAAAGGATTGATCAGTTCATTTAAAAGTACCAAACTCAGCGAGTTAAAATATTCTGAGGGGTTTTCAGAACTGGATCAGTTGATTTACTGAAGAGGCTCGATAAATCACGGAATTGAATTCAAGAGGCAACTCTGTCTAATTAATCAAACAATTATTCAAACATGATCAGCCAGTTCATGGAAAAGATCTGAATTAGTGAGTTAAGAAACAAATCAGATGATTTATGAACTGAATCAGCTGATTAACCAAGTAGAATTTAAAATCTAAATCAGTCTAATTCTTTAAACAATCTTCCAAACAGGAAAGAGCAATTCAATTAAAAGATCTGATTCAGTGAATTGAATTTAAGAATTAAATCATATTATTTAAATTAAATCAAAATTATTTACTAAATCAGCTGAAAAACTGAGTTGAATTTAAAAGCTAAATCAGTCTAATTCATTAAATAATCATCCAAACAGGATAGAGCTATTCATTGAAAAGATCTGATTCAAAAAATGTAAGAACTAAATCAAATGATTTGTAAACTGGATCAACTGATTCATTCCTAAGATCTGATAAGAAAAATTGAATGGATTTCTAAAGATATTTAATCAGTCTGACTTAACCGAATCACTCGAATAGTTGAATAGATCTTATTCAGTCACTCAATTTGAAAAATGAATCAGATTTGCTCATGAAAGAATTATTTAGAGCAGATTATTCATGAACAGGATCTGTAAGTTAAGACTGAACTAAGTACAGTGCATCCGGAAAGTGTTCATAGTGCTCCACTTTTTCCACATTTTTTATGTTACAGCCTTATTCCAAAATGGATTAAATATGTTTATTTCCTCAAAATTCTACACACAATACCCCATAATGACAATGTGAAAAATAAAAACCTGGACAGTCACATGTACATAAGTATTCACAGCCTTTGCGGTGAAGCTCTAAATTGAGCTCAGGTATGTTCTGTTTCCACTGATCGTTCTTGAGATGGTTCAGCAGCTTAATTGGAGTTCACCTGTGGTAAAATTAGTTGATTGAACATGATGGAACCACCAGGACTCTTTTTGGAGCTGGCCAGCCATCTATTCAATTTAATTCAATTCAGCTTTATTTGTATAGCGCTTTTACAATGTAGATTGTGTCAAAGCAGCTTCACATAAATGCTCATAGTAACTGGATCAGGGTAGTTCAGTTTTTAGTGTTTAACTTCAGTTCAGATCTAAGCTATGTGATTTGGCAGAGTGATGCTCTTACATTTGAGCGCTGTGGAGCACGTTGTTAAACATCGTTCATTTGCCATTGTGTTCGCGTGCTCAACAGAAATGACTGTGATTGGCTGTGAAGGTGATCGGTTCACTGAACTCTTCGCTGTTTATGGAGTATAACTACAGATATAGGGACACTAGAGCATTTCAAACTCGCATCAATCAGCTGCTTTGTCTATAAGTTGACATACGAGTGATACGCTGATGAATTGTGGCTTTAAAACACTCCAGTGTTCCTGTATCTGTGGTTACACTATGCATATATATTCAAGTCCTGATCTGGTAATGTCCAATTCCAATAGAGTCTGAAATCGCATGATCAGGCCCGATTTCCGATCAAGCGATCGGACCTGGACATCTCTAATTAAGATGTATGTAAAATGATTAATGTCATACAGTGCTTTTCATTAAGTCTTTTCTTCTGGCAGGTTTCACTAAAATCTCCTGAGGCTGCGGTCACGTTACCCATCTACATTGGGAACATTGCTGTAAACTTGACTCCTTCAATTCCTCACCCTATGGCTCATGGTGTCCCGATGCCCACCGGGCCGAGTCTCAATCCAGCAGCTGTAGTCCCGAGTGCACCTCCTGTAGAGGAGGAGCTGGCAGGACAGCTGGCGGCTGGAGGAGGCGACAGTGAGGAGATCCCCACCAAGAGCCATTCTCAGCAGGACCCGTCCGGCGCTCCTCTCTCTGTGGCTCCTTACGGTCATGCGTCAGGTCCAGTACTGCCACAGAGCCAGCAACATGTCCAGTCTACAGACGGCTCCGCACCGCTCTTTTGTTTGTCCACAGGAGCCACTATACCTTTCTTCACTGATGGGAACGCAACGCCGGTGCCCACGTCCTGTCCACTCATCCTGCCCCCCGAATATAGCACCTGGGAATACCCACATGGTGAGTGATCTAGGTGGAAAGTAGCGCCCTGTATGTTTAGCTGGGTTTTTGTGTTTAAAAACGAACACCATAATATGCAGTTGAAGTCAAAATTATTAGCCCCCTTTGAATTTTTTTTTCTTTTTTAATTAATTTCCCAAATGATGGAAATTTTTACAATATGTCTGATAATAATTTTTCTTCTAGAGAAAGTCTTATTTATATCTTATTTTGGCTAGAATAAAAAAACATTTTAAAGTCAAAATTATTAGTCCATTTAAGCTATATATTTTTTCAATGGTCTATAGAACAAACCATCGATATACAAAAACTTGCCTAATTACCCTAACCTGCCTAGTTAACCTAATTAATCTAGCCTTTAAATGTCGCTTTAAGCTGTATAGAAGTGTCTTGAAAAACATCTAGTAAAATCTTATTTACTGTCATCATGGCAAAGATAAAATAAATCAGTTATTAGAAATGTTGACAAAGTCCGTTAAACAGAAATTTGGGAACAAAATTAACAGGCACGGCTAATAATTCAGGGGGGTTTATAATTCTGACTTCAACTGTATGCATAATCAATATAGCTAAACACATTTTAAACAGTGAAGAAAACATTTCTTTTTTTGATAATTCAAATGTTTTATTTTCCTCAATTTATCAGTGCCATCAGTTTACACATTTTTACTTCCTTTTAACACCCTCTTTCCCCTCCCCAACAGCGGCAGTTACAGTAATTAGATGTTGCTATCATAAGTCCAGTAAATACAGATAAATAATATAAGATAATTACACTTTTACTATGCATCTCACCCCTGGGACCTTATTCATCCTCCAAAAATTATTTCCCCATCTTCTCTTATAAACATCTAATTTATCAAGTATTCTATGTAATTTTTTCATATGCTGCCACCTTCCCCAATTCTGTAACCCATGCTTGAAATGGTGGTGGTGGACCTGCTAAACGCCATCCCCTCATAATGATTTGTCGTCCAATCATAATACTTATTTGAATCTACTTAGACATCTTCACACCAGACCGTGCAGATTGCATAAGTTTTATAAATATATATATATATTTAAACTTTATATATATATATATATATATATATATATATATATATATATATATATATATATATATATATATATATATATATATAATATTTATTATTTATATTATTTATAATTTTTTTTTTTTTTTTTTTTTTTTTTTTTTACTATTTTACCAAGAAATTATCAGCATTTGGTATCTTTGCTTGAACTGACCAGATCATCCTGTTTATTTGAAATAAACCTGCTCTTGCGCAGGTTTGATCTATTAAAACTGTTACTATGACAACAAGTCTCAGATGAGTTTTGAAGAGCGAAACGATCCTGGATCATGTGAAAACGTTGACATCCAGCTAATTGAGTAATCCAGCTAATTCAGAAATCCATGTATGAAGAACGGACCCCTGGTGGTTACATACGCATAATCAATTCAGACCACACAAGCAACAATCTTTGCATCAGCTATGTGCTAGTTCATGATAACTACATGCTGCCATATTATCAATTTGCTAACTTGCCTAGAAACATGCTAAGGCGCAAAAGAAAGCTTTTTTCGTTCTGCCATGTTCAGAATTCGATCATTTATGTTGAAACATGCTTTGTTGAAACACGTCATATGCTAGCAATTTGCTAGTTTACCTAGAAACATATTGGCAATAGCTCATGCTAGAAACTTCCTAAAACATGTTAGCAACATGCCAATTCATGTTAGAAACATGTTTACAACTCAGCCAAGTTAGCAGTTTGTTCATTTACATAGAACCATGCTAGCAATATTTGAAGCCATGTTTTGGGGTTCAGTTGGTTTTATATGGTCTAAATTTGCTCTTTCACAATTTTAGAAACTATAAGATTTATTTATTTAGTTTGTTTGTTGTTGTTTTGTACAGTGACTTTAAATAATGGACATGAGTACAACATCCAAACGTATTTTGTGCTCCAATTTAATCAGATTTTCTTCATTTACTCTAATTTTCAGAGCCTCCTCCTACTTACGAGGAAAGCTGCAGTAGCAACAACTCGAGCTTCAACAGTAGCATGAGGTAGACGTCGACAATTCAGACGTCCTGCTTCTTCATTATGCCATTCATATGCTGCCCCCTGCTGGATGGTACAGGCATTGCTGCCACCCTCTCCATCAACCAAATATCCTGAAAACTCTAGGATAATTTCCTTACAATTTGTAGTTAATCCCCTCATATCATAATTTCAGCAGAAAACAAGCGGGGAGAAGGTTTCAGTGCCTAAGAAGACGTAGCACTCAACAAAACCCCACTCAGAGATTTTGCGAAATAAATACCAGCATCTGAAGCATTTTGAAGTGAAAGTTACACTTTTTCATTCAACCAAGCCTGGCCTTATGTGAAGTTCATCAGAGAATGTGCTTAGTAAAATAATTCTGCCTGACCGGGGGAATAAATCAAACGGATATGATTCTGGCATGATTTACGCAAGCAGCGGTGGCTCTGAACCAAAACACTGGGCCGCAGAAAACGTTACTCTGCAAAGAACAAGTTTATTTATTAAAGGTGATTGATGGGACTTTTTTACTCATCACCAAACAGACACTGTGTGGATACAGCTTGGAAATACCAATGTAGACGCCATCATGGGCACATAAGTCGTTATCGCTTGGCCGAATGGTAGCCGAGGTCCCTTGAAGAATGCTTAAGGGAACAGTATATTCCATCGTTTCTGAATGAAAACTACTTTTCCTGCCTGTCGAGGGATTTTCAAAGCAAACATCAGACTGCTGACTCATTTCTGTTATCATATTTTACACCAAACAAAAACAATATACTCATCTTTTTTCTTTTTTAGATCTCACAGTTCCACCCTGGAGTTATTATACAGACAATAGTCCTGTTTTTCAGAGTTTGCATCATGTCAATGCTGGTAAAATGGAAAGATATCAGTAATGTGCATCATCTGAAATCTAATTTTATTTGAAATCAATAATGAATTGACTTCTAGTTGATCATTTGGAAAAGTGACAGACGGTAGATTTTACAGATGAATCACCTATTAAACTGCAGCTCAATCATCACAAATACTGCAGAGGACCTACTGGAACACATGGACCCAAGATTTTCACAGAAATCAGTCAAGTTTGGTGAAGGAAGAATCATAGTTAAAAACAAAGAAGGTCAAGGTGCTCCAGGATTGGCCAACCCAATCACTAGACATGAATATTATTGAGCATGTCTTGGGTAAAATGAAGGAGGAGGCATTGAAGATGAATCCAAAGAATCCAAACTTTTTTTCTCAGCAAAGTCAGACCTTACTGTCCTAATTAAATAATTAAAAATCAAGGCATGATCATATTTAAATTAAATAAGCATAATCTAGAGGCCTTTCATATAAGCCACTTCTGATACTAAATGATCAACTAGAAGTCAAGTCATTATTTGTTGTTCCTAAAACTTAGATAGGCGACAAGACTTTTGTCAGGTAATGTACATGTCTTTTGTATGTGACTTTTGGTCGTATTCATCAATATTTCTCACATTATCCCACAACAAATGGAGATTTATGATGGATTTCCGGTGAGGCCTTAGGCTGTCGTGTACAGTCCTTTAATATGGCAAACACATTTGTTTTTTTCATGTTGATCAGTTCAGACTCTTGAACTGTTGGAGAATTTGAAAAATTGAAGCACAAAAAGGCACTTTTATGTGTTTGTATATGTTTATGTGTGTGTGTGTGTGAATGTTTTCTCCACTTCCTCTTCAAAATATGAATAATCATTTTTCTATTTTAGATCAGTATTGTTATTGTTTTATTTAGTTCTTGATTTAGCATGGAAAGAAAGTCTGATTCGGAACACAACAGACACATAAATCATGTTCTGTGTTATTTTAAATGACCAAAATAAAATAAAGTTTTCGGTACTCATTTCTGGATTTTGTTTGAGATTCATGCGCTATGTTTCATTTGCAGTGATGACAGAAAGTAATAATCAGGTCATTCTGCTAAAAAAAGGTGCCATTTGTGTACTTCAAATGAACCAATAGATTAATAGAAGAAAAATAATAATACTTGAACATTGATTTTTAAATGATCTGTTTTCTGGCCTACTTAAAATTTGACATTTTGATTGGACATAGATTTTTTTAAGTTTTAGGTAATGTTTTATTTTTATTTAATTATATTCTAACTATTTTAAAGATTCAAAACACTTTAATTAGTTAGTATAATTGTGAATTTTGTTGAGAAAATCTGAACATTGATTGTTTGTTGAATATTCACTGTGAAAATACTATTTGAAAACATTAAAACAGATTAGTGCAGTTCATTACTTAAAAACTGTATTATAGTAGGTTTTTGAAAAATGGTGTACTTAAAAAAAAAAAATCACTTTTTTAGACTTCAAAAGGCACATATTTTAGAGAATGGCCCATTCAAATTCATATCAAGGGGCTTTATGCTGATTGCATCCCCGCAGGCCACTGTGACTTTTAACAGCAGCTAAACGTAAATTCAGATTCTGTTTCTTCACTGTAAGTGCTGAAATCTAAGTGAATGCATACATTGTAAAAAAAGATCTGAAAAAGAGCGTTAAAATTGCATGTCAGTGATTTGAAGTTCTGTAAATGTTCAACCACATTTTGCCTTAAATGTAAATCTGAAGCATCGCTGGTCCCATTATACAGTAATTTAAAAAAAGAATGTTGCATCAGATGTATTGCTCATTTGTCTCTCGAGCCTCTTTAGCTTTCTGTTGGCATCAGAAATCAGAAAGTGTCGTAGGAGAAAGTATAGATGATAATTTGTAGCAGTGCAAGTGAAAGAAATAATTCCTACGTCCTCCATTTTTGTAAATGCTGAAGTTGCGGTATGGATGTACACTTCTTCATGGCTTATGTACATGTATTATGTTCTTTTTTTTTTTTTTTTTTTTTTTTTACTTTTAACCAAAGTTTCAGCAGCTTTATCAAGTTTCATTTCATTACGTGGTACTTTTCTTTCCCTGGATTTTCCAGCAGGATTCGAAATAAAGTAGCACGATTGTGGATCGATGTTTTATGTGAAGTTGTTAAACAGAATCAAACTTGTACAGCAAAAGTAATAAAATCACTTTAATTCTCATTTTTACCCTGCAATGTTGTTCATTTAATGGTTCATTTTGTACTTGAGTTTATTTGTACACTTACCGGCCACTTTATTATGTACATTCCAATTGCTTGTTATTGCAAATTTTTAATCAGCCAATCACATGGCAGCAACTCAGTGCATTTAGGCAAGCAGACATGGTCAAGACGATCTGCTGCTGTTCAAACTGAGTATCAGAATGGGGAAGAAAGGTGATTTCAGTGACTTTGAACATGAACAGTTGTTGGAGCCAGATGGGCTGGAATGAGTATTTCAGAAACTGATGATCTACTGGGATTTTCAAGCTCAACCATCTCGACAACAACATGAAAGCATGGATCCATCATGCCTTATATCAACGGCTCAGGCTGGTGGGGGTGGTGTAATGGTGTGGGATATATTTTCTTGGCAAACTTTGGGCCCATAATTAACAACTGAGTATCATGTCAATGCCACAGCCTACCTGAGTATTGTTGCTGACCATGTCCATCCCTTTATGACCACAGTGTACCCATCTTCTGATGGCTACTTCCTGCAGGATAATGCACCTATCAGGGATCATCCTCCAACTTTCATCAGGATTTATCAGGTAAAAGTATCATCCTAGAAGCTTTTCAAGAACGTTATTGTAAGATCGATTTATTTATTTTTTTAGCAATATTATTAGAACATTTGAGTAAGCAATACACTAAAGACATTCAAAAATGTTGCTCTAAGATTGTTTTTCTATTAATGTAACAAAGAATGTTCCAAAGAAAATTTTATTAATGTTACACAACTTTTAAGAAATGTTACTAAATATTCTGGGAGCGTTTCATGTTAGCTGGGTAAGTATGTAAAATAAAATAAAAATGTTTTATTTGTATCAGTACAACTTTTTTTTTTTACCCATGTCCCACTTAAGAATCAATGATTTGGTGACATGAAGAGAAAATCACACAGAACACGTTCTAATGCTGCTAATATATTTTCACGCTGGTTGAGAGCAAGTATTAGCACATTTTAACTGCTTGTTGCTAACATATTTTAGCATTAATTGCTAAATCTGTTTTATATGTTTTAATGAACTAATATGTTTTAACAGCATGCTTCTTAGCACACTTTACCATGTTGCTAGCATGTAGTTATGCGATGAATGGATGGATGAATGGTTACTACACTGCTATAAGGAATTAGCTCATCAACTGTATCTTATCAGCATATTGAAATATGTTGAAGACAGAATTATTAGCCCCCCTGGACCAGCATTGAAACCAGCATACCAGCGTCAAGACATACCTTTTTTTCAGCCGGGATGTTTTAATGAACTTGTTTTAACAGCATGATTCTTAGCACATTGCAATTTTTTAAGCACTGTGTTAGGCTAATAGATAGATAGATACCCTGCTGAAAAATCCAGCTAAAACCAGCCTAGGTTGATTGGCTGGTTTTAGCTGGTCAACCATGGATGGATGGATGGATGGATAGATAGATAGATAGATAGATAGATAGATAGATAGATAGATAGATAGATAGATAGATAGATAGATAGATAGATAGATAGATAGATAGATAGATAGATAGATAGATAGATAGATAGATAGATAGATAGATGGCACATTAACACGAATTATTGTTATTAGCATGTAGCTAGTATGATTAGCATGTTTTATTGTGAATTCACATGTTAACAGAAATGTGGTATTAATTAGCATATTGCTAACATGTTTCCGGTAAGAATTGTCATGCTGCTAGCATGTTTCTAGTATGAATTAGCATGATTCTTGAGAGTGAAGCCAAAACTAAAAACACATAAGGATAACTGTCTGTTGTGTAGCACTTAATGTACTTCTTTATTTTGACATAAGGTAAATATAAGGAATAAAACTTAGAACAGCGTTGATGTCCTGGTGCTCGATGTAATTCTCATGGAGCATTTTTCAGAATGGCATGAGAAGGAAATAAGGGGTAAAAGATCAAGGAGACCAGCTTCACCCCAGAACTGCCTGCTGCCTCTTTCCTGTTGCCATAGAAACTGATCCCAATCCATCATTATCACTGTGTTACACGAGGACATGGACATTGGGTGTGTAGTCTGGATGGATGGCACACACTCTGAAAGAGAAGAAATGGGTTTGGAGAATGTTTATGGGTGGCCTGAAATAAATTTCTTCTGCATATGCCGATTTTGTGGTCTTGGCTGCGCTCATGGCTGGTTTCAGAGTGGTTTTATAGACATGATTCTAATATTATTTATTTATGTACAATTATCAAGGGTGAGCAGTGTACAAATTAAAAAATAAGCATTGAACCATTTGTTGATAAATCTGGCCTGAAAGATTGGTTTATGAGACTGAGGTTATGTTCACATATAAAATTTGGCTCTCTTGATTAATTTGGTCCATACTATTTAGTCCTGGTTTGCTTAGAATTCATGCTTTAAAGCACAAGTCTCAAACTCACTTCCTGGAGGGCCGCAGCTCTGCACAGTTTTGCTCCAACTGATCCAACACAGCTGATCCAACAAATCGTGGTGTTGAAAAGATTCATGAGTTGGATCAGCTGTGTTTGTTCAGGGTTGGAGCAAAACTGTGCAGAGCTGTGGCCCTCCAGGAATCGAGTCAGACTTATGCTTTAAAGACTAAAGCTGTGGTCCTACTAGAGTTTGCGTGTGCGGAATTCTGTTGTACAGCACTGCGATAAGGGATGGAGTCCATGTTTTAAATTTCTGTTAAGAGAGGTCATGTTTTGATCTTCGATTGGTCTCACACAGGCACATGATACGATTTCACATGTCAGAGTTCACCAAGCTTGAACTGCAACGCAATGAACTGTGAAACTTGTCACACGAACTTGCGTTTTCGGTCTGACTGATTATAAATGGAAGTCTATGGGGAGAAAAGTGACTGCAGCTTAAACCTATAGAAAATTAAAGCAGCTTTTATGACATAATTTACTGAACTTCTGAATCAATATTGTGTGTAGTGGGTTGTGTTCATGTACAGTACATGTTAATTCTTATCAAATGAAATATGTCACGTGCAGATGACCATGTGTTTAAAGCAGATCTGCTTATTTTAACCAAATTTGTCAAGCGTCAACACACCCTGAATGAGTCTGAACAGTGGAGTCAACACATCTTTAAAATTTGACACAAAACTGAATCAATGAATCAATGAACCACTGAGGGCCAGATATAATCTCTTTTCCTATTTCTGCACAGAGTTTTGTAAAAAAAATAAAATAAAATCTGTGGATTCATGCTGAATGATTTTTAAATTGGAAGACCTGAAAACACATAAAAATATAATAACTTTTATGTAAAGTTCACAATTAAAATCTAATTAGAAACACTTATTTGGTTGACAAAGCTAGAGGTCTCTTTTATACGTCTAATACATCCACTGAAAGACAGAAAATATTAATTTACTAAAAAGTATTATACAAAAGTTTTCTTAATATTTGAATATTATTCATAATACTAATCTTATTATGAAAAGTGGAAACATATATATTTACAGTAGCCCAAATAAATAGATTGAATGATGGGCTGGAATTTCTGCGTAATAGTATGTGGATGCAGTCTTTATATTGCAAGCTGAGATTGCATCTCTCATCGATGCATTGTCAGACACAATGCACTCAATAGAGCTAGTGACGCCACTGTGACGGGTAGGGTTAGGGGTGGGGTTAGGTGAGCCCATTAAAAAGCATTGCATGCAGCTCAGATTGCATCTGCACCATGGCCGGAATCTGCGAATTTTTGCAAGTGCAGATTTTATATGGGCTTAAAAACATATTTTCAGACATGTCTGATTCCAAATCAAGAACAGATGATTGAGTTTGTAATTTAATATAGGATATTATTTATTTTAATTAACATCATGTATTTTAGTTTGTATTAACACTTCAAAATTGCTACACTGTAAAAAAATATATGAGCAATTAGTCCTGACAGCATGTGTTTTAGTTCATTTTACTTATTTAAGTTGATCATGTTTTAACTTAATTTTAATTTTAAGTTATGCAAGCTGTTTTAAGACAGTTTAACATAAGTTCAATGAACTCATAATGTTGTTTTGATTCAGCTTAAAAATGTAAGGCAACCAGGATTTTTTACAGTGTAATAATACAATTAGAGACGTCTGTACTACACGTTATTTGTAAATCTCGGAGTCTCATAACAAGAAAGCAATTAAAACTTATAAAGCATGTGCTTTATTTAATATTCTGCATTAATTTGTATTATTTTTTCATGTGCCCCCTTTCTTTCTCATTGTCTTTCCTTTATAAAATTGTGACATTTCACTTGTTGCAAAAAAAGTAACATTTGCTTTGCATGTACCGTACTTCAATCTGTTTGCATTTCTATCTGCCTATTTTTGCAATAAAAAAAACATTGATGGTAAGCAATTGTCTGCATGTAGATGGCGTCAAAGCGTAACACACGAATCGCTGTTAATTCTTTGAAGCAGTTCAAAAGAACCGATTCTTGGAAATGAGCTGGGAATTCACTACTCCACATAGCTCGGAACAAAAATGAATCAGTGACGTGTGCGTGAGTGGGCGGGGTCTCAGGCTGAGGAGCCATGGCTTCAATGAAAACTGAGGTAAGAGCAGAGCAGCGATTCCACATTTTAACTTTGCTCATCTGTGTTATCGTTATGCTTTACTCAATTTGACACAGTTACTGATTGATAGACCTTTTGAGGCACCTATAGCAGCCGGGTGATCTTCCAGCGGCTCTCCCGGGCAGGTTTCCGTAACGAGTCTTTCAAAGAGCCCGCCTGTCGGTCTGTTTCGATGCGAAAGCTCGGTGCTTTTGTGCGAGCAAGTGCGAGTGAAGCTTTGTGAAGGCAAATAATGGGGCGGCCTCTTCATTTTTTGCAGTGCGGCTGCTGTTGCCTGGAAACCTGAATACATCCGTACTGTGCTGCTAGTTTACGGCAAGGTGATTGTTATGCTGGTTCCGGGGCTCTATCCGGCTTCAGATGCTGCTGTGGTGTTATCGTAAATACAACACT